CGTTGCACCAACACGGACCTTGGAGCGCAGGGACTCGGGAGACTCCAGCATGTGCAGGAGCTCGGAATTGTCGATCTCCAGGAGCATGCCAGTGATCTTTCCTGCCAGGCTGGGATGCATGTTCTGGATGAGAGGGAACAGACGCTCACCTAAAAAACAGCCAGGAGAGCATATGCATTATACATCATACACCGACGTGACAGGCAAGCGAGGCAAAGGTGTGTGCGGGGGGGGAAAAAAAAAGCAGGAAGCGCCCAGAGAAACTTACCCAGCATCTGCTTCTGCTCCTGTGGAGGAGCAGCAGCCAGCATGGAAGCTGTCAAGGGTTCCTGACCTTGGACGTGCACTGCAGGCTAAAAAAAAAAAGAGGCAGAGGAAGTGTTAGTACCTATCTGGAAAGCTCTGGAGAACTGTGGATGCTATTGCCATCACTTGCAAAAATCTTATTCCATCTGCAAGTATTTGCAGGTGAAACATCAAAACCTAGTCTCAATGCCGGCTCCTAATTCAAGGAGTGTTATTCCTCCATTACCAGACTCTGAATCTATATAGAGAGTACTGTGTGCATCAGAGTACTTTCTAGGAACAAGTAAAGGTTTATTCCACACTGAAAAGAGACAAAAATTGTTTTGGGCTGTGGAGCCTTCTTTAGGAGTGAGTACTTTCTACATAGATTCAAGAGGATCAAGAGGCTATGGAGCTGTACCTGCTGCATGGTCACCTGTGGCTGCGCGTTCAAGTGCTGTTGAGTGTTGCGGACTCCAGCAGCATACTTGTACTGGGGGACGCCCCGCACCCCTGGGGTCGCTGCCGCGGCCGCCGCCGCAGTGGCAGGGCGAGGGCCCATGGTCTGGGTGGCTGTGGAAGACGAGGGCAGGGCGATCAACACTCGGGCACCGCAACTCGGGAGGGAGGGAGGAGAAAACGTGGCACAAAGCCGGGCGGATACTGACCGACGCGCTGTCCGGTGGACATCATGCGAGGCACCTGGGAAGACGTCGGTCTCATCGCGTTGAAGGTCTGCGGCCTCGGGGCAGAAGGGCGGATGGCACTGGGCATGTTCTGGAAATCTGCACCGGGAAGATTTTTCAGAGTTGCGTAAACCAGGATTTAAATCCCAAATCGGGGGATTTCACGACCGTGCGAAACCACGGCCTACAACAGTCCAACTGCGCCTTTAAATCGGTTCAAATAAAAGGAGGACAACTTACGCTGCGGTCTCACGCCCTGGGTTGCCCAGCGAGGGCTGGGTCTCAGCTGTGCCAGCTGGCTGGTGGGGTAGTATGCAGCACGGTTCTGCGTCTGGCCAAAGCAAAACCGAAAAGCCCGTTAATATGCTCCTTCTACTCGCCGCTGCCAAGAAAGTAGATTTAGGGCTGTGCAAGATGAAGTATTGTCAAAAGAGGGTTTTAGTTCCGGCAGGAACTGAAACTTTATACCCACCCCTTGTTTACTAAGAGGAACCACTGACAAGACCTACCAAAATCCCACAGGAATCACTACAGTCTGTAAGGGTGGGGAAAAAAACGGACCCAGCCGCAGAGGGAGGAAGGTAGAAACTCTTACCGGCGGGATGGCGGCCATGAAGTAGCCGGAGGGCGGGGCTGGCTGGTACGGGTTGATGACGGGGTTGGGCACGGCTCTCACGCTGGCCATCCTCTGCATGTACTGGTTGGTGAGGTGAGCCTGGCGCTCCTCCTTGCGCTGAGCCAGCGCCACGTACAGAGGCTTGGTGGCCACGATCCTGCCGTTCATCTCCGTCACCGCCTTGGTGGCCTCCTCCGGCGAGGAGAAGCACACGAAGCCGAAGCCCTTGCTGCGGCCGCCCTCCATCATGACCTGGCCGGGGGACAGAGAGCTCACTGACAGGACCACAGGGGCACGGGATCTGGCCCGAAACCGTATCCGAACCCTGCTCTTCGTCAACTCCGCCTGGAACTACAGCCCTGGTACCAGGACAGGTACTACACGGGGGCGAGGGCTATGACCTTCCTTCCACCACGGAGACCAAAACTTGCTCACGAGCATGAAACAACCGCTTCAGCTTAATTACTACAAGAGGCAAAACGATTCATTTTCTTAATTCGTCTAAAACTGCACAGGACCTCAGATGACAACCTGCTTATTAGATGCTCAAGCAGCAGTTATAGATGCGTTCTCACACGAGGAGCCCCACACTGCCGAAAGGGAGAGCGAGCACTGACTGGGGATAAGGTCTGCAAGCTCACACAGGCCATACTGAGTCAAGCCCACACAGCCAACTGGCAGCTCTCCACTAGAACCACTGCTTCAGCTGCCGTGCTCCACTGCCAGTTCTCGAGCTTCTCTGGAGCCCAGTATCATTATTCCAAGTCCAGCGCATTAGTGAGTGTTTGCCTCAATTCTAAAAGCCAATCTGGAACCCTGAACGCAGGCATTTAGAGTAGGGTCTTCAAGCTACTTTAATCAAGGCTGCTTGCCCAAGCGGGCTGCCAATAAAGGGGTTTAGACAAAGAGAAACCTTACCTTCGCACTTGTAATGGTGCCGAACGGGGAAAACTCTTTGCGCAGCCGCTCGTCGTCAATTCCATCATCCAGGTTCTTCACGTAGAGATTGACTCCCTGCAAAATGAGCCAAACCATTAGATCTGCTAAGCTTCCTTTCAACTGCGCTTCCCGTCTGCCTCCGGATTCATTTTCGGATACCGAGAAGATCTGAGCTGCAGAGAACAGAAGATGTGGACCTGCAGAGGCTCAGCTGAAAAACGAAGTGCGGTACTGGACCGCACAGCCCAGCCAGAATGACAAGTTACTGTCCGTTCAGTAGGGTCACCGTTTCCTTACAGTCTGTAGGACAGCTGTGCTCAAGCCAGTCTAGTTCCTCTGCTCCTTGAATGACTGCACAGATCTACACTGTGCTTTCTTCCACAGTAAAGCAAGCTCCGTAATGCTTGACAACTGTTTTCTCAAGCATTCAAGCAGATACTGAAAACCGCTACCCGTCTATGCAAACCGGGACTAACGAAGCACGGCACATTCTCCAGGCAGAAATAGATCGACTTAAAATCAGAAATCCTACACATTCTACACAGACCTCGATGCCACCGGGGCAAAGGAAACAACAGACCTGGTAGCGAGTCATGCGGTCCTGCTTCATCTGCTCGAACTTGCGCTTCAGCTCCGTCTGCCGCTCGACCTTCTTCTGGGCCCGGCCCGGCCCACGTAGATCTGCTTGCCGTTGATCTCCTTCCCGTTCATGTCGTCCACAGCCTGAGACGACAAAAGACCTCAGCCGGCCGCACGGGAGACCTCCTGCAACCTCCAGGCGCGTCGCAAAAAAAAACAAAAACGGGACGAGCCAGACCAATCCCTGCGACGACTTACTTTTTGTGCGTCCTCGTGCCTCTCAAAGCTCACAAAGCCGAAGCCCTTTGATTTCCCGCTGTCGTCGGTCATTACTCTGATGCTCAGGGCCGGTCCTGCGAAAAGGAGGGAGAAATCCCATCGGTTCTTGCCAACACTTCGGAAACGGGCAGCTTCATCCCGATTCCGACAGGCCGCCTCTTAAGGTCTACATTCCAACTCGGCATTTGACCAGCTAAACCCTGCTAGTTACTGCTTAATTCGACCAGTTTAACATCTCCAAGCTTTTCGGGTGCCGTTGCTTCCATGAAAAGGAAATCCTGCAAACAGGCCTCTGGGATCAAGACAGGACTACCCTGTACACAGAACCCATCATCTTCGCGAGAGCTTATACTTCCTGCACACTATATGCAACGTCAAACCCTGTATTCCTACACAGAACTTACCATATTTCCCAAAGATCTCTTTAAGCTTTTCATCATCCATGTCTTCTCCAAAATTCTTGATGTAAACATTTGTGAACTCTTTAGCTCTGGCCCCAAGCTCGGCCTCGCGCTCCTTGCGGGATTTAAAACGCCCCACAAACCTGAAGCAGAAGGAGAACTTGGGTTAGAATCTCATCTGGAGACACGCCAGGAAAAAAAAACAAGGCAAATGGATCACATCAAAAGGCACAAAAAAAAATCACAATGCTTGTACCGTCTATCATCTAATGTACACAATCTGTACAGCAGGTAATCCTATAGATCTTGAAATATCATCAAATTGGCTATAAACTGTCCGTAGCACTAACTTATCCCCAGAATCCACATGATTAAGATGTGGGGCCCATGAACTACCATGTCACTGTAGCAGCCATTTTGGCCAGTAGAGTCCACCAGGGAGGGCTTACTGAATTTGACAAGGCTGCACACCAAGGAGCGATCAAAGCAAAGTACACCACCACTGCTAACAGAGGCAATACTTTAACATCAAGGACACATTCCACAAACCAACGAGCAGCATTCCCAAGGTGACGCCAAAGAATTTTAAAAGGGTGCAAGTGTCTCGAAAGGAGAAATACTAAGAAGAAAAACTGTCCCATTCTGGGGCATTCAACACGAGCGCACATGTACAGTACTAGATAAACCTGGACTTACACTTTTCTGTCATTAAGCAACATGCCGTTCATCTTTTCGATGGCTCTCTCAGCAGCCTCCTGGGTCTCAAAGTGAACAAACCCATAGCCCTTTGAACCATTTTCATCACACACCACCTACAAAAGGTAAAAGTAACACAAATACTAACTTCAGACCACACGTCACTGAAATAAAGCCCCCTGAAACAGGGCGTGCCTGACAGCCTCAGGGAACAAGCTCATTCTGCGGGCACTTGAAGCTGCTTAATGCCCCACCTTGCAGGACAGGATGTTCCCAAAGGCCGAGAAGGTGTCGTAAAGGGCTTTGTTATCGATGGACTTGTCCAGGTTCTTGATGAAGATGTTGCCAACCCCACTCTTCCTCAGAGAAGGGTCACGCTGAGACCACATGATCCGAACAGGCTTGCCCTTGATCACGTCGAAGTTCATGGTGTCCAAGGCTCGCTCAGCTGAGGGGGAGGGAGGGGGGAAAGGCCCACAGTTAAAATACTTTCACACAAACCAGCCTT